CCCCCGCCCCCACCCCGGCCTTCCTCCCCGCAGAGCAGTGCGAGGACATGGCAACATTGCTCAGCTCTAAACAGGGGACTTTAAAGAAGACCAAGCAAAATGGAGGTTAGGATTACGAGAATTTATTATTTAAAAATAATTTCTTATTTAATGAAAAGTTAGTTTTAATATTTTTATTGATAAGTAGTGGTCACCCACAACTCCGAACGCGCGGATTTAAAAAAAAAAACTTTATTAGTAGCCTATTTGTTCTTTTAGATTATGTTCTACATCTATGCCAAATTTCAGCGAGATTTAAACAACCGTTCTAGAGATATCTTCTAACAAAGATCGATCTAAAGATTGACATTTATAATATAAGTAAGATTGATATGGTACATAATTATGTATGAAATGTATGGAGAATACATTTGTAGAGCAATGCTCTTGTGTATGGAGCGTGGGGCGGAGCGCGGTGACGTGCGCGCGGCACCACCACCGCCGCTGGACTATACGTACCTTCGGTAATCCGCGCACCTCCACGCGACTACCCACTGACTACCCACTGACCATAGACTCACCTCATGTTTTACCCATACCATAGATAATGCTGCATACTCTTTGGTGTATGACATAGACAATATTACATATTCTTTGGTGTAATGCCATAATGCTAACCATAAACCAGTAGATTATTGTACAAATTTGCTAAATTCTATATGTTTTTTTAAAGACTGGGTGAGTATAATAAAAAAACAGTAGAAATAAAAACTATGCGATTTCCTTTTCAAATATTTAAAATTGTACTGGTTGTTGGTTGTGATAATATACGGTTTAAAATCATAGACAACATATATTTTATATTTTCCTCATGGTTTTTGCCTTCATAAAAACATTTAATAACTTTACTGTTTAGTTTGATGTCATTACGTCATTGTTTTTGTATTATAAAAATAATTAACAATTTGAGTGTGAAAAATGTAATAAAATCAATATTGTATGCGTTTTTATATTTTAAAATAAATTATTTTTTTTTATATTGGTAACGGCACAAAATAAAAAATTAAATAAAAAAAAATATATATCACTTGGTAAACTAATTCCAGGAGGTGCAATCGACGCTATAGTAGACCAGATCAAATGCGGCAAGTTCCAGCTCAAGTCAACAGACCAGAACTTCTTGGAGAAGAAACCTAAGGATGACCAGCCCGAGGCGGTGAAGGAAATGCTCGCTATACTGGGAACATTGCGCAAACGTAGGGGAGGAAATAGACCTAATTTTGTTGGTAACGAACAGGAATCATGAAAAAATAATTAAATCGATGAATAATGTTGATTTAAAGATATTTGGCACACTTCTGGCATACATCTATGTTTAAACGTCGTATAGTTTATTTCAAACATCGCAAATTTAAAGTGTACAATGTTCTATATGTGAATGGTGTATTTCGCTAGTGGAAACGAACTGTTAGGGTACAGTTTGCAAAGACTTATTCGCTTATGACAGAAAATTTTGTAGAAAATATCACTGTTTTTGATTTAATTTGATATTTATAGTAATTTTGTTACCATGGAAATGTAAGGTTATGGATTTCCACTGGGGAATGTTTCCCCTTGAGACGGATTATGTACGTGTTTTGTTAGTGGAAATGCACTTTAAACATGTAATTAATGTAATCGCCTGCAATATTTCGTCCAATTAGACATTATACATAAATCTAATAGCTAATTGATAATAAACGAATTATTTTCTTTGATTTTGTTTAATAAAAACTTCATGAAACACTGAACATTTTTCTATATGCTAAGAAGACGAAATATATTTATATATATAGAAAATATGCAATTATATAAATTATACATTTTATATAAAGTAATTGTTTTTCAATTAGATTATTAAAAAAAATGTATTATAGATAATATAATAATTTTAAGTTTTTTTTTTGTATGAGGTTAGTTGAAATTGTTTTTTTTTTTGGAATTTTGTAAGTAAATTGAAACAATATGGTTGTAAAAGTGATATTTTTAATTTATCGCAAACAAAATGAAATTATATTAATAAAGATTAATATTATTATACTTAATAATAATATTAAAATATATTGAGTATTTAGTTTAAAGTTTTATATTTTTTTTCTCATAAAATGCGTGGAATAGATTTGACTATTTCTTTTAATTAAATTGTCTCAAAAAAAGACACAAAAGTAGATTTTTTAACAGTTCTAGGAATACTCTGGAAGATTTTATTTGAAAATTACCTTTTGAAATGTTTTATATTTATAGTATATTCAATGTTTTACTGTGCCTTTTACATTAAATCTATTTTATATGTTGTAACATATACATATCTTTTATATATATAACATATAAGATATTTTGGCACATCTGTACGATGTATTTCAATTGACATTTTAAGTTACATATCACACTTGTGTACTTGATTTTAATATATCCCACTCTGTCTTACTTAAGTGGTACTTTAGAGCAGATTTAATATGAGGAATCTACACTAAGGGACTCTTAATTTCTTCACAACCATTAAAGTGATCTGACGAATAAGTTATATATTTCTACTATATTTTATATTTAATGTTATTTGTATATGTAAGTTATAAATGTATACACAATTTAAAATATAAAAAACTTTTAT